TATTGTATGGTAAATCAAACACACAGCGGACTAAGTAGCCTTTGAAGAATAAACTTCATACACGAAGATAATGCTGTTGAAATACCCACTGATCCTAAAAAAAAATGTGTCTGATCAGCTAACAGATAACTGATCCATGGAAAGCTTCCTGATAATCACAGGCACATTCCCCATCACTTCCCCATGGGCTTCATTAAAAGACGGGTTGACATTTGAAAAACACACCGCCCTGTGATTAACAGCTCTCACCTGTGCCGGAGGGGGGGGGGGGCGGAGCAGGGCGCACCGAGCACGTGCTAGCCAGGTGGTGTCACGTGGGGCTGGCAGCGTGCTGGCGGTGGTCTTCCGGGTGGCACGGTGGCAGGTCTTCCCAGGCGGTGGGGGTGAGCAGTCCGTCTCTCTGTGCTGCCGGCGGGTTAAAGCCCGCAGCTCCTCCTCCTCCGCACCTCTCCCCCTGAGCGGCACAGCTCTCATCTGTGCCGGAGGTGTGGGTGGAGCAGCGCGTGCCGAGCACATGTCGGCCAGGTGGTGCCACGTGGTGCCACGTGGTGCAGGCGGCCCGCAGCGTCCCGGGCATCGGGCACACACACATTTGCTCTATAAGATGCACAGACATTTCCCCTTTTGAGGGGGAAAAAAGTGCGTCTTATAGAGCGAAAAATACGGTAGATCTCTTGAGTTGTGTATATTTAATAGAAAGCTTTGTTAAATGTACCCCATTGAAAAATATTTTGATATGTTTGTGGTATTTACCTTCTCATTTTAGCTGGAGCATATTCTGTGCACAGTATGCCCAACAGACATAAACATGGTTGCTCCACTAACTTTGGTTCAGTGTTCATGGACACGTGAAGAGGGGAAGCAGGTGATCCCAATGTCCTCATATCAGTAAAAGGTTTGAGGTGTAACTTTTTAATGTGGATACATAATTCTGATTATCCATACCTCTGGATTATGATGAAAAGTGACAATTGCATAATGACAAATACCTGTGAGTTGTACATATTTAACCTTGTGCCAGCATATGTACAGTTTTGGGTGCCATGTTTTCTTTTGCCTCTCTAGTGTAGCATTTAGTAACACTAACTATACTTATAAAATTCACATTTTATGATATGTTAAAAATGCATCCAGTAGGTAAGTGAGCATGTAGTATTAAGCATACAGGAAGAAGCTTGTTGTTGCTCTCGCCGATGGACAAATGTTTAAAGCAACAGCAATGATCTTCAAGTGTCATTCCCTACTGTTGGTGTTTCTGTCTTTTCATCTCATATTTAAATTTCCAAGGATGGCCTAGATCACATCAGATCTGTAGCAGTTGGAAGAGATTTCATATGAAGGATGAGTTTAATTGTATGTATTTGTGGAAAATAGCTCTCATGTAGTATATCACATCAAACTTAAAGAATAAAGGAAAGCACAGATGTAAATACAGTGAAGAAGCTTCCTTTTTTGCCTTGCCAGCATCATCTTAGAGTAGTTACTGCCAGAGTTTCTCACAAAGATGTTAACCAACAGAACTGTGTGGAAGTCTTTATAAAACACTTTGGCAGCATAATTAATATATGACAGATCATGGAAAAATTATTCAAAATCCAGATAATATTTGAGAGGGAAGAGAATATATATTAAGAAAAAATAGAATCAGTTCAGGAACATTTAATTAATTCATTATACTGTGATAATTTCAGTCTAATTCTACTTTGCTAATATGACCAGATATGGAGGTGTTAGAACACACACTTAATTCATGCCAGAGTATGACTTGATTAACCACAGCCCAAGCATATGATATGCAAATATTGGTTCAGAGCTCCTTCTCTGCTTCTGTTTATTGTCACTGCTTTGCTTTATATGTTCATTCCCATCT